TAATATTATTATTGTTGTTAACTGCCAATACGTCGAATTAAAAATAATAAATAATTATACAAAGTTATTCATTTGAACTACTTTCAATACTATATAAGGGGAAGTCCCGTAACGCCGGACAGCACCTAATACCGGACACTCTATTTAACACGTATTATTTAAGCGAGTATGACTCTTTTTACATAAATATACAATTTAAAGGGTCGCGGGGGCACACAGGTGCAAGACTCACCTGTGACGCACAAGGTCACGGCGGGAGCAACCCTTTGCTGTTTTAGGCGTAAAATCACGGCGTCACCTAAATATCAATGGATGTAATTCTACTGTATTTATGCATTTATATTTGAGTGGCATTCAATGATAAAAGTAGTACTTGATTGTTATCCGTAAAATAATAGAATATTATTAGATATTTTAAACAATTTCAGTAGGCACCACCAAATGAACGAACATGCTTGTCCCTTAGCACCGGACACTAAGTCGTCCCTTAGCGCCGGACACTAAGTCGTCCCTTAGCGCCGGACAATAAACATATTGAAATTTCTTGTGACAGTTGACGTAATTTATTTTAATTATTTAATTTTGTTCTTTATGAGTGCTAACGGTCACTACATACCCCCATTTTTCGTATTTCCTAGTCAAAGAATGAAAATCTTATGATGAATGCTCCAGCTGAGAGCATCGGTGTGGCCCAGCCAAAAGGGTGGATAATTAGTGATTTTTTTTTGCAATATCTAAGAATATTCGTCAAACACACATGTGCAGATACTCCAAGGTGGCTACCTATGTGTTCAATACTAGTTATTTTGAAAGGTCCAGTACTAGGTGCCACTTTGTGAAATCATATTTCTTGTTACCAAAGTTTGATTGATTGTATTAATTATTTTTAGCAAAGGTTGCGTTTTTGTTAGTTTAGTTTGATTTCTAACTTTGTTATCTAACATAATCATAATTTGATAAACATTTCGTAAAATATTTTTTGATTTATTCATAAATAACCTTAAGTGTCCGTCACTCGGGGACTTCCCCCTATTCGTCATTGTTCATAAGGAGACAATTCTCAAAATATAATAATTATATAAACATGATATAGTTGTTTTTTCACAATCTTTATATATTGTTAATTTTTTATAATTATTTAATTTTTGTATTTTGATTAATTAAATAAAAATAAAAATAATTAATAAATTATTAGCCATTGCAAATTGTAAAACCTCATTATTCGATACAAGAATAATAATAATAATAAATGGTAGCCTGCCCGAAGGCAGGTCCATGGTGCAAGAGCCACCACAATATATAACTTCTTTGCCCCTTGTCTATCATTTTTCATTACCACGATTCCCCTCCTCCCTTTTTTCGTGTACTTTCCTTTCCGAATTTTTGCTTCCATGCTTCTTGATCTTGCGTTTTGTCTTTCAGTTCCCTGTATTTTCACTTCTCGCATAAGTCGTCAATCGTATGCATTCTTCTTCTTGCCATTTCTTTCAGCCCTTTTATTTTACCCTCGATGACGTGGTGCCGGAGGCACTTTTTTGCAAAAGGGATCCGATTCAGTTTCCTTTTCTTTTTAGGATTGTGCTCAGTAGAGTCCTTTCTTAGCCTATTCTTCTCAGGACTTCTTCATTTGATAATTTGTCTGTCCACTATATCTCCACCCGCCTCCAGCACCACCAAGTAGTTCAATTTCCAAGTAGTTCTTGTCAGCTTTTCTCAGAATCCATGTCTCCGATCCGTACAGAGCTATTCTCCAAATGTAGCACTTTGTTAGTCTCTACAAGATACAAGAATATATTTGATTATTGATACACTTATAAATATGTTAAGAAGTTTGGTCTAGTAACCATGGTTAAGAGTGAAGTTTAGATGCAATTTATTATTTTACATGTATATGCTGGTGAAAAATTCTTAAATACCCAAAAGGCTAATGCAAACTTTTTCAATTTCTGAACAACATTTGTAAGTTCCACAAGTGAAGTTTAATCGTTTGTCTAGAGTGGAGAAGCAAATTATGAAACTTATCATAAATGCAAGAAACCATAGCCTTTGTGAAAAAATTTCTCATATTGTTGGAAGCTCTATGATAATACCTAATCGTATATTTGCATATCTTCAAAACGAAAAAAACTTCTGTTTGAATCTAGAGTTTTGTGAATTATTCAAATTGTTTAAACTATGATATCGAAAACATTGATGAAAATTGTATCTCAGCATTTATATGTCGTATTCATGAGATCATAATCGCAACTGTTTTGAGTCTATGGCCACTTAATTTTTTCCAAATCAAAAATTTTTATATTTCATTCCTATATATTTCCTATAAAATTTGATTTATCTAATATTTCATTCATTTAAATCTTTAGATTTGCACAGATCTATTACCTGTAACAACTGTGGAATCTATTTGCAGAAACTGTTCTAATATGAATGAAAAACAGAACTATAAATATGAAAAGGTAGTAAACAATAAATGTATGAATTCTAAAATAGTATTTGTAAACTTCGTTTTTACACCGTGTGCTTTATTTTTACGGCTTATTTTTTCTTTATCGCATCGTAAACCGGCAATTCCATTGTTTTCGTCATCAAAATCATAAACTTCAAACATGTGCAAAACTTACCAGCTGTAGCCGTAAAATTCGCGTGTTATAAATAAAAATTTTATATATTTCATAGTATGTTTTCTTCGTGGATATTTGGCCATTTTCACGATTTTTGTGCAAACATTTCTTGTAGGTTTAGTATAAACTTCCCGAAAATGAAAATTTTTGCATTTCTCAACGTTTGAAGGTTATGGAACATTTTGGCATACCTCAGAAAAAATGGATGTGTGTCTGTGTGTTTTATATGTCCGCATTTTCGTCCACGTTTTCGGGCGCACCGATTTGAATGGTTCAAAAAACATTCGATGCCCATTGATAGGGAGATGTGCAGATTGACAAAGGAGAAGAGATGATTCGTTTCTAGCAAAGGCAGATCCAGCAATTTTGAAGATTTAGAACTAAGCGTCCGATTTGAATGATTCAAAAAACTTTCTGCTTATTTCAACAAAATAATTGCTTTTGGTAAAAAAAATTCAAAATTTTTTTTCTTTTTTTTAAATTTTTTTTCTATATTGAAAATAATTCAGATTTTAATTTTAATTCTTACTAAAGTTATAATATACTTTAAACAAGTAATTTCAACTTTGCAATTCAGTTTATATAATTCTTATAAATATTAACATTTTGTTACGGTACGGGAAGTTCCAGCAATTTGCCTTAAGGCACAATGCCATGCACCCCACTAGTTATTAATTTTGTTTATTTAAGCTTTGGGTCCGTAATCGTAAATAATATTTATAGAACCACAGTCCAAAATAATAACACAATTGCCCCATTTTTTTTTTTTTGTTAAACTATAAACTTAATATTATCGAAATTGGCCACCATTGAGAGGTTTTCTTTAAAAAATTTACTGAAGTTTGTTGACATGATGCATCAAAATTTGCCGTATCTAATTAGGATGATATAATGGTAAAATACTTGATAGTGTTACATGATGAAAAGAATGGGATAAAAAATATGTTAAAAACGCAAAGAATGATTAAAGATCCAAAAATATGAAAGAAATTAAATCATTAATATAAATTTTCTAGCATAGTCTCAAATTTGTGATGATTATTTTATTCTATATCAACAAATTAATAAAACAAAAAAAAATTAAACAGATCATAATTAAGGTATATAATGCATCACAAAGTTTTTTGTTGCAAAATTGTATGTTTTTTTGAAAATTAAATAAAATGCAATTTGTTTTGTCCTTTATATATGTCTACAATTTCAGATATTATTTATTCATATTGTGTTAATTCTTTTTGTTACTGAAAAAAAACAAGGAAGTTCCAACAATGCAGACTTATAACACAAATTAGTAAGCAGTAAGTTAGTAATTAGCAGTAATTTAATTTATTTATTTTTATTTATATAATTAGGTATAATTTATTTTTATTTGGATGCCACTTAGTTTATTACCATGTAAAATCTGTTTGATAGAACGTAAGAATAATCGTCTATATCAAAGAATACTTCTCTATAGTATATGGGCAGTTTACTATAGTATATAGTATATTCCATACAAAATTGGCCATTGTGGTATTTTAAAGATTTAAAGGGCTACTTTATAGTTCTTGTCAAAAAAGTCGATATACCAATTTTCAATATCCTAACTGATCAATTGCAATAAAAGACATGCGAAAGAGGCTTCTTTTTCTTAGACTCAGTCAGAGTCGATTTAAAGTAGAAAGATTTCCACTTATATGAATTTACATCCTTAATGAAAAATCCGATTTAAACAACAGCAAAATTATTCCATCAATATTATTATTTTAAGTTTTGAATATGCAGTGTATTGTTTTTTCACAATAAGATAGTTGTGTTTTGTATTAAATAACAATGAATATATTGACGCTATTGTTTCGGCACGCGTACAAAATACACACAGATCTCTCAGGAATAACCAAATTTAAAGCTAATTTATGTTGAAGGTTTATATGGAACTTCCGTATATTTTCGATAAAATATTGTGTAAAGAAACTCGAATAAATTCCCACATACATCATCAATACGCATGTACGTTCGAAAAATGTGAGTTGATATTTATTATTAGCTGTTATAATATGATCATTCATCGGTTTTTTCATTAATTCTAAAAGTGAGTGGATGACTTCTGAAATTAAATGTCTCAATGGGACATTTACTTTCGCCTACGGCATTCCACAGTTACCTTGGTTATTCACAAATATAGTCATAGCTCGGATTGGTCTTATCGTGCAATCTAGTTTGAAATTTTGGTTTTAGGAATTACCTTGAATTATATTTGCCTAAGAACTGCTAAATTGAAAATTCCTTTACGGTGAAACTAAGAGTGTTTCATATGAAAATTTTTAATTTTAAACAAGTTTGATAAATTATTGATAATATTGATACTATTACTATTATTGATACTAATACTATTATTACCGAGAACATCACTCTGTGGCCACCAAGGTCGAACAACAACATTTTTTGGAATGTCTTCGCCTAACTCTTCCTGGTTTCCTTCCCATTTCCATAGGACTAAAACAGGTAATCGTCCTAAGGCTTTGAAAAGTGCGTTTCTGGCCTTTGCAGGTAGGTCATTTCCTTTAAGATTACTTCCCATACTAAAATATATTGCTCCATTCTCACTGTTATCCAGCAATTTTTGAATATCCTGGTGAAAATAAGTAATGAAAATATAAATAATTATTTACTGTTTATTGTTTTGACTTAAAATCACATTGGCGACATTGTGGGGCGCTTCTGCCGTAAAATAGACCAATGTGCCTGCAAGGCCATGTTACGTTCCACGTTTTCATACAAAATGGTACTAAATTCTGTCAAAATGTCAAGAAGTATTTACTGTGCGATCAGACCTTTTACACATAGAATGCAACTTCACTGATATGGTATCAAGCCATATCTCGAAGATGCAGTTATGATTACATCGTTTTCTAGTTTTTTTTTTATCAAAAACGCCTGACTGCACCGCAAACACTTAGTATTTGACAGTTTTTAATATCGCTTTATATAAAAACTGCTACACAACTTAGTCTTGTCGTAAAATTGGTTTATTTTACGACAGAGTCAGCTCCTATAATTCTTGCTTTCTTAGAAACGTCTGAGGTTTTAAAATATCAAAAACCATTCACTAATTGTTTATTAACTTCCCGTAGGGTAAGTTATTGTAATCGTCCAAAAATCTAAATTAAAAATTTTTACATTTCTTCACGTCTTAAAGGATTCTGAATATTTTGGCATACCTCAGAAAAAATGGATGTTTGTGTTCATGTGTGTATGTATGGATACAATTTTTCGTCCACGTTTTCGTGCGCGCGTATCAACGGATTTGAATGGTTCGAAAAACATTCGATTCCTATTGATAGGAAGATGTGCTGATTAGTTTTTGGCGAAGGCAGGTCCAGCCGTTTTGGAGATACCGAGCAAAGAATGCAGAAAATAGAAATTGAGTTTTTGAGAGATCGGAGCATCAAATTTGAATGATCCAAAAAACATTCAATGAGTAATGACGGGGAAAAGTAGTGATTAGTTATTGGCAAAGGCAAGTCTAGCAGTTTCAGAGATACAGAGCTAAACGTGCAAAAAATGGCAGTTTTTGAGAGAACTAAGCGTTTGATTTGAACAATTCAAAGAACTTTCTGCTTGTTTTAACAAAATAATTGCTTTTCAAAGTTCCAGCAACTTGCCTTGAGTTACGATGCCATACACACCACTAGTTTTTATTTTAATAAAACAGTATTGATTAGTTTTAAGCAAACCAAAATATTTGAACTTGTGAGCTTTGAGCTTTTGGATTTTGTTATATACAAATTAATATTTATTTGATTGGTTCAGTAAAACTTGATATAAATTGATACTTATTCTTGATAGTTGAAGTTTCCATAGGAAATCCAACTTTTTTTTTCAAAAACAATAAAAATTATAGAATATTCATAATTTTAAAATAATTGAACTTTATGGACAAAAAGAACTCTAAGATGTTTCTACTTAAAACATGATCGGTTATTTATGATGATTGAATGGTTATCTCCAAATCCAAACTGTAATAATATTTTTGTCAATCCGTCAATCATTTTTTAATAAGTAACCTCTATAACTAGCTTGACAATTTTCAATGACAAATATGTTTATTCATCATGCCTAAAATAATATTTCTTCTAACTAAAGATTTATTTCTTGGATACCTGAGGCAGTGGTTTTGCTGGACGAATATGAAGGCCACCGACCTCCACTATTCCTGGTAAAAGTGGTCTTGGTCTATTTAAACTAACATGACTATTAGTTAATAATACTGATATATTACTCATCAAATCACGTACGTCGGGTAAAGGCCCTGAAAAAATAATTAAGATTTGTGACTCATAATATGGCTAATATGCAAAGTACTTGGAAAATTGATTTTATTGATGAAAATAATTTTACAACTTGAAAATAAGCAGAATTTATTCGGGTAGAGCTTTAAACATAGAATCCAAAAAGTAATAAAAAACAAAAAAGTTTTTTGCGAAACCATTACTTTATTTATTTACTGTCGACGTTTCGGAATTAGGTACGTTCCATCTTTAGGACATTTTTCAAGAAACATGATCTGGATAACATTTAAACTATCGATATATTTAAGAAAAGTAGAAAATTGTGAATTTATTTAAAATGAATTTTATTGTGATAGAGGTAATATCACAAAAATTATGACAACATAATCAAAATAACAATAAAAAAAAATTGATGAGTGTATTATATAATCCAAAAAACTTTTTTGTTTTTTATTACTTTTTGGATTCTTTGTTCAAAGTTCTACAAAATATTTAAAAATCCAAGACCATCTAATATATATTATATTATAAACAATTGTATATACATATAAACAAATGTATATATATATATATATATATATATTATATACTAGCTGACCCGGCAAACGATTTTTTACCATGTAAGGTATTTCTAAAGATTTCTGTCTGGTTGTTTTTCAAAATAAATATATGGGCATTGCGATATTTATTAAAAAATCACTTTTACGATATGCTTATTTGCATAAATTTTATATTCGTTGGCCATCAAAGATGACATAAATACACATATTTGCAAATTCATTATACATAATTATATCAAAATGAAATTTGTACATAAACAGTTTTGACGTAAATTCTCTAAAACACGTAAATTTTTGTGATTCACTTTCCAAAATATAAGCATTATTTTGGGAAAATTTAAAAATAAAATTGATTTTTTTATTACATAAAAAATCGTGAACAAATACAAAATAAACAAATATATTTTAAAACAACTATCTGTATCCCATTTGAGTGCGTCATATTAAAATAAAATTAAAGTTAATTAAGCAAGATTATTAAAGGAAATTGCAGTTTGAAAATAACCATACCTTCAACAGTACACCTTATAACCCTGGAATATTTTATTACTATCAAATTATCCTATTAAGTTGTGTAATTAGTGTAATTGAAGTTTGATGTCATTATGTTGTTTTAGCATCGATATGTACTATGAAGTGCCATTAAAACAAATTAAATATACTCTTACATTGATCAATGGCAAAATTAATATGATACTGTTTCATTAAAAACGCGTACTTAATATCACTTAATTATAAGCCATGCTGTCAATTGATTTATTCATAAATATCATTAAATTAATTAATTTTTATAAAGTTGAGCTTGTGGGGTGCATATAAAAGTTGTTTAAGTTGATTTATGATATATTTTTAAAAATTGGACCCAATATTTTATTGGATTTAATATTAAATATAAGTGGTCATTTATAACACTTTACCCACTTTTACAATATAATATTAGTCCTTCCTATTACTCTATATGCACCATCCAAGAAACAGATGGAATTGGCCTTAGTCATTTTGTCAATACCGATTGTTATTCAAATTACTTTCAATTATTAACCACCCCTTAAATATTAAGTAGTGCATACATAAAGAAAAAATATTTAATAAAAAGATCAGGATAATTAATTGTCTATCAGTCTAAACTCTAGAGTCAACACATACCATTTTTTTATCCATAATCTCATGCAGAAAACTACTAGTATATACCTTAATATCAAAAAATTATTGATTATCAAACTCATTATTAAATTATTATTAACTCTAAATATTCTTTATTTGTAGTCGGATAAAAGAAATAAAAAGAAGTTTTTTTTTTCAAAAGTCCCTAAAAAAGGTTGATTCGTATTTCAGATTGATAAATGACTGATTTACTCAAAGTCGAAGAACTTATATTTTTTGGCAATATAAGAAATTCAACTATAGCAGCAATAATTGTCTTGCAAATTCATTAACTTTCTGTAATGTAAAAATAAAACAATATTTAGAAATGTCTCCACACCACTCCAAATTTTCTTCAACTTTCTTTAGAAAAATCGACAATTAACACGTGTTTATTTAAGCTATTCAAATTTTGTATATTTTCGATGATGGACGTGTTCTTTAGATATTGATGAAGAAAAATAAATTTGTTTCTGAAAAACGGAGAAAAAAAGTAGAAATTGATAATTTTGGGACTAAAAATTAGATTCAGCGATTTGTAATGAACTTACAGAATATTTCGTTTATATTTTGGTCATATGTATGCGTGGATTTTTCCATTTCCATGTAAATTTACCATTTTTCTCTGATTTTAAATTCTGATCTGCTAAGTGACTAGTAAGATTCAGATCAAGTAAAAGTAAAAGATTAAGTAAATTTGCTTAGACTAAATTTGTAGCTTCTCTTTGAAGCATAATCAAGTATACAGTATTATACCTAATTAGGAATTTTTTATTCACTTTACAAGCATTTGAAATTTCAAACAGGAAATAAATGTTTTCATAAAAAACTATGTTTTATATAAGTGGAAATCTAGTATTCATCATCTCAAACAAAGTCTTACTGACTACAATAAATAGTTCAAAGATCAAAGTTGAACAAAACAATTTAAACTTGAACTTAAACACGGCGAGAAATTTGCGATAGACGTCAAACTTTCTATTGTAGTTGGATAGTAAAACATTGCCTGGGACGATGTGATTCTGTTGTTGTAGAAATTATTTGAAGTTGAAAAATTTACTTAAATATGAAATTGAACCAGATGAAGAACTACATTTATATGTAAAAACATAGATTGCGCAACAAAGCGAAATTTCCAAATTTAATTAGTTCAGAATTCTGATTAAGCTTGCTTCCAAATGGTGACAAACTTCAAACATTTTTTCTAACATTATAAAATACTGATAAAAGAAAGGAGGTGTCCGAAAATCGAGAAGGAAACCAGTTTTTTTTGCATTTACATAATATACATAGTTTTATTAAGACTATATGAAAATAATAGCTAAATAGAAATGATTAAAGCTTAGATTCACTTGTAGAGAGAATGATTCCCCGAAAATGGAAAAAATGGGAGATTCACTTTTGTTTGTGGAATTTCAGCAGTTTTCAGCAAATGATGAATCGATACTTCTATTTAGAGATACTGCACATTTATTAAAACATAATTTCTATGAGTTTAATTAAAATAACATACTCAAGTGAAGCTAATTTCAACAAGATAATTTTCAGTGTGCTGCGCGTGAGGAAACAATAAAATTAAGATAAAAATGTAAAAGTAATTAATTATAAAACCTATTAGTAAATTTATGTCAATGTCGAATATTATAAAAACTATGTTAATAATAATATAAGCACAGCTTAAGTTTACATATTACTTGAGAAAAATATTCTACTCCAAATATTTACCAAAATATTCCTAATCCCAAGAAGAATCGACTTACCTTCTAAATGAGAAAAATGTTTTTCAGCTATGGCTTGCATCTTTGGCCAGTATTTGAATCTTCTTATAATTTTATCATACATTATATCCATGATGTTGGTCAATCTTTGTCTAAAATTCATGTTGTCATCACTATCAGAATAATCATATGGAACATGGGACCAGGGTGAAATGTTACCAAGAGCTTCGTTCATCGAAAAAGGTAGAATGCAACTTGCTGAAATTTAAATATAAAATAATATAATTAAAATAAATTTGCAATGAATAATGTAAAACATGTATTATTCGTATTATTGCATTTCTATTGAGTAATATGGATCAAAAGTCAAATGCAGAATATGTATATCGCTTTATCTCTCAGGTCCTGAATATAGGTAATTTAAAATAAATAACCTATTTATTTTATGTTCACTTAATGTTTCCACAAAATTTGAGGTGCCATTCCATATCACAATTTTTGCAAAGAAAAAACAAATATATTGAAAAATATTATGCTGAATGACCCGGATTAATGTGCAAAGTAGACCATAAATTAGACCCATATGTTATGGCAAAGGTATGTTACGCTGCTTTTTTATATAAATTATATCAAAACGCTCAGACGTTTTATACATAAAATCTATCTTCTTGCATATGTTATTAATGCACATCATGAAAATGCACTTATGATTCGTTTGCGCGTATTCTAGGTTAGGCTCTGTATTTAAAACGCCTGACTGCTCAGCAAACACATAGGATTTTGACAGTTTTTAGTATCATTCTGTACGAAAAAAACAGCGTAACAAGGCGTTTCCATAACATTGGTCAATTTTAAGTCAGATCTTGCTCAATAATCTTCAGCTATATTTTATTTTGTACAAAAAGGTAACATTACCATTAAGATTCGTAAAAACACTATTATGATGCCAGTTATCTATTTTTTAATAAAAATGATTTTAAATTTCTAATCCCATGATTTTTAGAGAGTTCAACTAGCATAACGAAAGTAATCGCTTTCGTTCATTTTATGATATTACTGCATTGGACCCTAAAATACTGCAGTAATTTAATCGATTCGTAAAGTTTGTTTAACATTTTCTAAAAATACCTAATATTAATATTAAAATACATTATAATAAAACTCATTAAAAAATTAGTAATACATATAAGCATGTTTAATCGCAAAATTTGTAAAATTTCGTCAATAAAAGGTATGTAATTTAAAATATAGCATTGCCAAAAATAGCACTAATTAATTTTAAGCTCGGAAAATTTGTTTCATTAAAATTTGTTGTTATTTTAAACACAATTCGCTTTCAAAGCAGTTGATGGTATAAAAATTTGCTTCGAACAAAGGTATCTTAGAAACAGACCAATGCCATCGATTTTATGTGGTTTTGCATGTTGCTCTCAGATCACACTACTATTTAATAAATTAAATTATTTTGCTGAATAAATAGTGTTTTAGATATTTTTAAAATAACTATAGTTTATTGTTTAGTCCTTTAATGTTTAACCATTTCATTTGTGGTAATAATAAATACCAATCTAAATCATATCCAATAATTAACTTTCCGAAGGAGAAGTTCATGTTTTTGCTCAAAAATCCTATTTGCTAATTTGATGTTTTCTCGAAGTTTCAAGCCATTCTGAATCGAATGAGACCGAACTTGGAAAAAATATGTGTGTGTTTTTGTGTATGTATGTGAATTGATTTTTTATTTAAGTTTTAAGACACGGGAAGGTAATTGTACACAACGCATACAAACAGCTGTTTTTTTAATACACTAAAATCATTATGGGCTATCAAATGTAGTTTCATAAATTTTAGAGTAGAAATTTTCAGTTGCTTGTGAATTTATACAACTGAAACTGTACGTTATAAAAAATCTTTATAGTAAAAAAAGCTTTATGTCCAATAGTCATGCAATAAGTGATATAACATCAGTAATAGATATTTAAAATATAGTATCTGCTGTAGTAATACATGTAACTAAAAATATCATAGATAAGATATCAAAATAAGTAGTGAGTACAATACTTGTAAAAAAACATTTTCAACAAAATACGAGAATAAAAATCTCGTTCTGAAAACTTTTGCCTATACATAGTCATCATTATTTGAATTTGAATTCAAATTACAGTTTTAAAAGTACGACAAGCAGATCATATTTGATATATTAGATTTTAGAGGCAATTTTCAGATAAAATAGATATGTTATAGTAACGCTATGTTACGGGTCTACCTTCGTATCAGTAGGTCGTAACTAACTGTTACAACCTACAAAACCATGAAAATTAGGTAAGATCTACTGTTGCCATTTTTGTTGAACAAATCCCGAAACATTTCAAGTTACATTTTCAATAAAAGAGCATTTCTTGAAGTAACCAAGTATTATAAATTCAAACCACAACTCTCCCAAGTCAATTTGTTTGGAAGGCTCGTCCTTCAAATCACTCCTTAATTTGACACATTTAGAATTTGTTATTTCCGAAATTAGTGAATTCGTGCTTCCCATCTTATCTACTATTTTGCTATAAGACACTATTAAAAAAACTAGTGGGGTGCATGGCATTGTGCCTTAAGGCAAATTGCTGGAACTTCCCGTACCGTAACAAAATGTTAATATTTATAAGAATTATATAAACTGAATTGCAAAGTTGAAATTACTTGTTTAAAGTATATTAGAACTTTAGTAAGAATTAAAATTAAAATCTGAATTATTTTCAATATAGAAAAAAAATTTAAAAAAAAGAAAAAAATTTTTGAATTTTTTTACCAAAAGCAATTATTTTGTTGAAATAAGCAGAAAGTTTTTTGAATCATTCAAATCGGACGCTTAGTTCTAAATCTTCAAAATTGCTGGATCTGCCTTTGCTAGAAACGAATCATCTCTTCTCCTTTGTCAATCTGCACATCTCCCTATCAATGGGCATCGAATGTTTTTTGAACCATTCAAATCGGTGCGCCCGAAAACGTGGACGAAAATGCGGACATATAAAACACACAGACACACATTCATTTTTTCTGAGGTATGCCAAAATGTTCCATAACCTTCAAACGTTGAGAAATGCAAAAATTTTCATTTTCGGGAAGTTTATACTAAACCTACAAGAAATGTTTGCACAAAAATCGTGAAAATGGCCAAATATCCACGAGGAAAACATACTATGAAATATATAAAATTTTTATTTATAACACGCGAATTTTACGGCTACAGGTGGTAAGTTTTGCACATGTTTGAAGTTTATGATTTTGATGACGAAAACAATGGAATTGCCGGTTTACGATGCGATAAAGAAAAAATAAGCCGTAAAAATAAAGCACACGGTGTAAAAACGAAGTTTACAAATACTATTTTAGAATTCATACATTTATTGTTTACTACCTTTTCATATTTATAGTTCTGTTTTTCATTCATATTAGAACAGTTTCTGCAAATAGATTCCACAGTTGTTACAGGTAATAGATCTGTGCAAATCTAAAGATTTAAATGAATGAAATATTAGATAAATCAAATTTTATAGGAAATATATAGGAATGAAATATAAAAATTTTTGGTTTGGAAAAAAATTAAGTGGCCATAGACTCAAAACAGTTGCGATTATGATCTCATGAATACGACATATAAATGCTTGGATACAATTTTCATCAATGATTTTGTTATTATAGATTAAACAATTTGAATAATTCACAAAACTCTAGATTCAAACAGAAGTTTTTTTCGTTTTGGAGATATGCAAATGTACGATTAGATATTACCATAGAGCTTTGAACAATATGAGAAATTTTTTCACAAAGGCTTGAGTTTCTTGCATTTATGATAAGTTTCATAATTTGCTTCTCCACTCTAGACAAACGATTAAACTTCACTTGTGGAACTTACAAATGTTGTTCAGAAATTGAAAAAGTTTGCATTAGCCTTTTGGGTATTTAAGAATTTTTCACCAGCATATACATGTAAAATAATAAATTGCATCTAAACTTCACTCTTAACCATGGTTACTAGACCAAACTTCTTAACATATTTATAAGTGTATCAATAATCAAATATATTCTTGTATCTTGTAGAGACTAACAAAGTGCTACATTTGGAGAATAGCTCTGTACGGATCGGAGACATGGATTCTGAGAAAAGCTGACAAGAACTACTTGGAAATTGAACTACTTGGTGGTGCTGGAGGCGGGTGGAGATATAGTGGACAGACAAATTATCAAATGAAGAAGTCCTGAGAAGAATAGGCTAAGAAAGGACTCTACTGAGCACAATCCTAAAAAGAAAAGGAAACTGAATCGGATCCCTTTTGCAAAAAAGTGCCTCCGGCACCACGTCATCGAGGGTAAAATAAAAGGGCTGAAAGAAATGGCAAGAAGAAGAATGCATACGATTGACGACTTATGCGAGAAGTGAAAATACAGGGAACTGAAAGACAAAACGCAAGATCAAGAAGCATGGAAGCAAAAATTCGGAAAGGAAAGTACACGAAAAAAGGGAGGAGGGGAATCGTGGTAATGAAAAATGATAGACAAGGGGCAAAGAAGTTATATATTGTGGTGGCTCTTGCACCATGGACCTGCCTTCGGGCAGGCTACCATTTATTATTATTATTATTCTTGTATCGAATAATGAGGTTTTACAATTTGCAATGGCTAATAATTTATTAATTATTTTTATTTTTATTTAATTAATCAAAATACAAAAATTAAATAATTATAAAAAATTAACAATATATAAAGATTGTGAAAAAACAACTATATCATGTTTATATAATTATTATATTTTGAGAATTGTCTCCTTATGAACAATGACGAATAGGGGGAAGTCCCCGAGTGACGGACACTTAAGGTTATTTATGAATAAATCAAAAAATATTTTACGAAATGTTTATCAAATTATGATTATGTTAGATAACAAAGTTAGAAATCAAACTAAACTAACAAAAACGCAACCTTTGCTAAAAATAATTAATACAATCAATCAAACTTTGGTAACAAGAAATATGATTTCACAAAGTGGCACCTAGTACTGGACCTTTCAAAATAACTAGTATTGAACACATAGGTAGCCACCTTGGAGTATCTGCACATGTGTGTTTGACGAATATTCTTAGATATTGCAAAAAAAAATCACTAATTATCCACCCTTTTGGCTGGGCCACACCGATGCTCTCAGCTGGAGCATTCATCATAAGATTTTCATTCTTTGACTAGGAAATACGAAAAATGGGGGTATGTAGTGACCGTTAGCACTCATAAAGAACAAAATTAAATAATTAAAATAAATTACGTCAACTGTCACAAGAAATTTCAATATGTTTATTGTCCGGCGCTAAGGGACGACTTAGTGTCCGGCGCTAAGGGACGACTTAGTGTCCGGTGCTAAGGGACAAGCATGTTCGTTCATTTGGTGGTGCCTACTGAAATTGTTTAAAATATCTAATAATATTCTATTATTTTACGGATAACAATCAAGTACTACTTTTATCATTGAATGCCACTCAAATATAAATGCATAAATACAGTAGAATTACATCCATTGATATTTAGGTGACGCCGTGATTTTACGCCTAAAACAGCAAAGGGTTGCTCCCGCCGTGACCTTGTGCGTCACAGGTGAGTCTTGCACCTGTGTGCCCCCGCGACCCTTTAAATTGTATATTTATGTAAAAAGAGTCATACTCGCTTAAATAATACGTGTTAAATAGAGTGTCCGGTATTAGGTGCTGTCCGGCGTTACGGGACTTCCCCTTATATAGTATTGAAAGTAGTTCAAATGAATAACTTTGTATAATTATTTATTATTTTTAATTCGACGTATTGGCAGTTAACAACAATAATAATATTAGTTGCTTACCGAAACTTTTTTGATTATTCTTACAAAATTACATTTTCTTTTGAAACTATACCAATTCTCAAATCCCTGGGTGAGACACAAAATGTTTTATCGAAATTGGACAAGTTGTTTTGGGGGAAGCCAACTTCATACACACATAAATAATAATAATAATATTACTATATATATGTATGTTTATATATATATATATATATATATAAGATATATAACTAATTAGTACTTACTTACTGCAACGACTGGACATTTGAACTTATGAGCAAACATAAGAAAAGCTTCTTGAAAAAATGCCTCAACAATAATGATATCAAACTTTACTTCTGACCCAGCATGGACCAACTTTTTAACCCCTTCTGTTTGTAATCCATTTTCAGTGGTCGCTAATCCCATTTTAATGACCACATCCAATAAATCCTTTGCACTCACATCGGTGATGTCGTAGGCCGAGTTTGAAGAATCAGTACCTGCAGAAAATAGAAAATTAGGAGGATTTTCATGGGACATGAAATATAAATTTCTAATTTATGATTTTATTTATTTATTCCGTGGTTAAAAGGTCAAACTCATACGCATCCTAATAAATATTTATTTTGCAAATGTTTATTTGAAACGATCAAACAAATTTCAAAGGTACAATAAGCAATAATTTGACAACAAACATTTACATGTCATATTATAAAGAAACCAAAAATGTATCTTTATATATCATTATTTTTCATATACTGATTATTTTGGCGTACCTCAGAAGAGAAAAAATGTATGTGGGTGTATTTTTAGTACATAATTATTTATTTACATCATTATGGTTGTATGGATCAGAAAATCATTTAATAATATAAAATAATATTGACAATGTGCAAAATATGCTTATTTTTGGACATAAAGGAAGTACAAAAAACTTCACTCTGTATCTTAAATTTCAGAGTTTTTATCAATTGTATGATATACTTTTCTACTCCAAAGAACTTAACATTTAAACTGTCGAATATAAATTGCATATAAAACTATATATTTTATAAATAAACCAATTTTACGGTAAGTGAGTTAATTTTAAATTAAATTAACATATCAAAATATATTTTTTTAAATTAAATTTTCATCTTCAACTTTTTTATTTCTGAAATATTGTAACACATAATATATTTAACTGCTATTTAATAATATTTTAGAACCTTTGAAAAATCTTTGTGAATATAATAAAGCAAATTTCATTATTATAAAATAAACTTTATTATATTTACATCCCATAAATAACATCCCTGTTTAACAATCATTTCATTGTTCTTATAATGAAAGGGTAATGCGAATTTTATAAAATAAAAGATTTTTATTTGTTCTATATTTATTTTTATGAATACAATTCAGGCTCTCTAATAATTGTATATAACAGAACAGATTTTTTAAATTGTACGTAATAGGATTACGTAGAAATAAACGTTGAACATAAAACAATAAACCTGCACTTCAAAAAAATAAAGATGATTACGTAAATGATCATTTTTGTAACGATGTCTTGTAATACCTATTTTTATATAGAGTATTTCTGATAAATGAGACTATATTACATTTTGCCTATGAATTTTGTTAATTTATTTAAAAGATTATTAACAGTTTTAAGTAGAGTAAATGAAGTAAATTGCTTATTATACGTTGAGACCTTAGAAAAATATTTGGAATTTATATATATATTATTAATATTTACATCAGATATTCATTCTGTAAAATATAAAGTAAAATTATTATGAATGATATTATTAAATTAATAAATATGATTATTCGGAACAAAAACAGAAAAAAATCGAGAAAAGATTTTTTTTAAACAAAAGGTAGTTAATAGCGTATTTCAGACATTCAATAAATGCACAGAATTGATCAAATAATAAAGATGTAATACCGCAGTTGTTTTATTGACATATTAACATTATTATTGTTCTAAAATGAGTACATATTAATTATTTTATTACATTGAGAATAGGAGTAGATAAATACAAAAAACGAGCAAGTAAACAATTATATTAACTTGTTTTTTTATATACTTTTTTTTTATTATTTTTGAACAGCAATCAGAACCTAATGGTTCCATAAGCTATTGTGCTAATAATTATATTATTGATGTTTTTATCTATTAATTGGTAATGTCGTCTTTCTGCCTTTAGATTCATTTAGTTAAGGTTTTTTCATATCACCTGCCTTGCAAAATAAAATCAACAAAGGTAAAATTTTCATTGAAAAACAGTACCAGAGAATTCGTGCAATGTGTGATTTTACATAAAAGCAATAACTGTCAAATCCCACGCTTTTTAGAGCTAAATTCCACTATAATATGAAACTATTCAGAAATAGATGCTTTTTATTGTTGGCATTTGTATGCATTTGGTAAAGGTAATTTTGGAACTAATGTTGCTTATTTTGTGTATGGTCAATTAGATCTGATAATTTAATTTTTATTCATTGGTGGAATAAAAGTAAATTCAGATATGACTGTTAAAGCTTTTGTGATTGAGCTTTAGCTAAATTCAGACTTTTACGATAGCAATAAGCGCTCTTTCCTCATATAGGGTTGTACAAAAAAATTTTGCAAGAAGCACTTATGCTTTGAAAGTTGTATGCGGAATGCTTAAAATGAAAATAATTATAGTGTAAATTGAATGAAAAGTAGAACTTTTTATAAAATTATATAATAAGAAAAAAAATTATCATAATCGATCTGATGAAATAGACGCCAGCAAAGTTTCCAAAATTGATCTACCTTTTTGGATATGTCTTTTCAAGAATTTTGTGCTTTTAATATATTTAAGATATTTACAATTATTTATCATAAGATATAAATATTTGAAATGGAATTTTAAATTTGATTTGATCAATTATATTTAATAATTGAGATTCGATCATAAGAAAAATATAAACAGTTTGAATTAATTGCAAAACATATGAATTTTGGTTGAAAAACACAAAGTTTTTGGAAAAAAAGCTTAGCTGTTGCAGAATTATAAAAATAAAATTTGTAAATAGTGACCATATTTTTGAAAAGTCTTCAAAATCTCCGAATTTAACAAAAACCAAAATATAATTCTCTAATCACTTTTTTATTTAAAAAATGTAGAATTGGGAAACAAAAATTATTAACTACTACCTCAGATTGTAGACATACATATGGTAATAAACAATTTAATTCTAACATTTTTAAATAAATTTTAAACAGATTAAAATTAGCATTTTATATTTTTTTTAAATTCTTATAAATTAATTTTTCTTATCATCATATTCATTAAAATATTTATTTATGTATTTCATTCTTGACAAAAAAAAAACATTATAGAACGTAGTTATAAATACTCTTTTTCAAAAAAAATGGATAGATTTTTATTGGGATTCATTGTTAGATAATCAACACACACACACACACATATATATATATACATATATATATATATATATATATAGTTTAAATGTTAATTTACCTAGTACTGCCCAATGATCAAAAGGATCAACAGGAATATCTGTGTAGTTTTGTAGCTCAATTTTTTGTGGAAAGTTTGACACAACTGTTACCTATAATAATATATTTATTAATATGAGGATTAGATTATAATATTATCAAATAATTAATATCTCATACAATAATATGAACAAAACTGAGCTAACATAAAAAAAATTTGAATCTTGAGTAGATACAGATTATTTCCAGATTTTCAAAAGAAGGCGAAACAGATCAATTCAAATGAATGAATTATAAGATTTTATATAATACATATTTTGTTTAAATATGGATTTTAAAACCAAATTACCTGGTGACCTCTAGATGCCAATTCTTTAACAATTGGCTCCATAACATTGAAGTGACTTCTTGCAGTGAAAGGAAATAAACCGAGAATACGGGCTCCATTTGTAAGATTACATACAGCTCCCAATACGATCAACGTTAGTATAGAAATTTTTGTCTAAAATAATAATTTAGCTAATTTTAGTTAATCATTAATTAAATGCAAATTTTTATCTTAACTTTTAATTAATATTTAACTATTAACTGTCTTTAGAAAACATATTTTTTTAGTACAATATGAAAATAATGTGTTGAAATAGTTTTTTTGTATTGAAGCACAACAACAATGATTGATCATGAATAACAGTTAATTAAGTAAAATTATAGAATATTAAAACTCCCATTTGATACGCATGATTGGTTTTTAAGATTTGACTAAAATCTTTTAATTTTCAGATGTTAATTTTTTCATCACATAGCGTATATAACGTGGCTATTTTTATTGTGTATCAATTTTTCTTGTGTATTTGTCGAAATCCTAAATTTGCTTTATATTTAAGCTGCGTAGTTCAAATATTTGATGCAAATATTTTTGGCTCCGATTTTAATCATTTTTAAACGTGTTTCAATCTATTTTTCCAATTCTTTATTTTGCATTTTCAAACCTTTTAATTATTGCTATACTTCCCGAATTCGACATTTAGATATTATTTTTACCCAGTCATGACACAAATTAATATTAGCCGTAATGAACTCACTCATAATGTTTCATTTTGGATTAGTAGTTTAAAAGTTAGAAGTCCATTTTGTGTCATTAATTTTTTTTTAATGATTTGCACGTTTTTATACATTTTAATTACATCTGTTTAAAAGTCTGTTATTGATTTTTATCGATTTTTCGGCTACATAGTACATGGGATACTGTAAAAGTATTACTTGACATCTTCTATGATCTTTAACTTCGGGATAGGACTAGATTTTTTTTTTCATTTTGCTTAAATATAGATAGGCTCATTATTGTCATTATCATGTCAATAGATTACATTTTTTAACAAATACTCATTTTATAGTAATTAACTACACTTTCAATTTCACTCAGTTATACACTAAGAATTTTAAATGTTTCACATATTCTGACTTACTTTGTTTCACTATTTTAATACTACTATATTATTTTGCAAGGAAATTAGTTGCGTTTCTTCTTCTTGTACACACTCTTTGATTCGGTATATTTTATAGAAAAATAAACATTGAATACTACTTTTATAAAATTGCTTTTTTGTCAAAGCTTTTCTGATGTATCATTTTTGATTTTTGCAAACATGGTCTTCTGCAACCTTTAAATATTGATGTTTTATCTTCAAAAGAACTTATCAGATAATTTTTAAGTTTCAGTTATCAGACAATTATTGAGGTTTCAAATAAAAAAGTCGTCATAACATAAAATCCATATTTTCATTGTGTGGCATTTGATTCTTCGGCAAATGTTTCCAATTCGCCTAAATCAATTTTGTGTAGCAAACTGGAGTTTCTACTATTAAGCTTAATTAGAAGACAGTCAAAATAAATCCAACAGAACTCAAACACAAAACTTTTTGAAAACAAAAATTAAATAATATATAAGAGTAACACTTTACTTCACCATATGAGCCTGTATCACTAATAACTTGAGGTCATCGCAATCAAAATTTAATAGTTGATTAGAAATATATCTACCCGACCGTACGAATAAAATTTAAATTATTAAGAAAATAAAATTAATTTACCATTCTGTTTTTTGATAAACACTACAGAAATCAGCCTTATGAATGACTATCCGTTTTGTATATAAAAACTTTGCCTCTGATGTTTGTTATCATAACCAGACGCAATTAGATAACAGTTCGATTTGTTTGTTCTTTATATAAATTAGTACAAATCTCAAACAGTATCATTGTAAATATATTTTGTAAAATTATTACTTTATTTTTAGATAAAATCTGTACATAAATAGTACTTCCAATCATTCTTATTTTGAAAATCATGAGGTAAATATTTGTACTGTGCATGTACAAAATTAATTCTAGTGAAATACAATTAAAATCGACAAAGTATTGGATATGTGAAAATTGTTCTGAAAGTATTCCCACATTCGTACAAATGCAAATTGAATACATGGTACTCCAATCGGATTATTCAATTATATTAAAAAACAATATTTCAATTATGTTAAATTAATTGCAAAAATGTTTAACAATTCTCAGAGTTTTAATTTAGTTCAGAATGTACAATAAATTAAATTGAATTTTCAACTAGTTTCTGTGTGTTTAATTACAATATAAATTAATTTTAAAATTTAACTTTATTTGCCTGCATGTTTTTTTGCGCATATAATACTGATGTAACAGCTTCAGTTAATGTTTATTAATAAATACTAAATCTACAATTTTGTCGCTAAAACAACATTTACTAAAAGTTTTATATTTTAATCTTTAAAATATCCTTGTAATTTATATACCAAATGATCAACAATTTAGTTCTTTTACCCATGCAATTATTTTAATAAAATGTTTTATGTAAATTACTAAATTTGGTAAATGATCTAAATTGAATAGATGCAAATATACAACAAATTACCGAATATACAAATTATCAAACCTGGTAAATAATCTAACTTGGATAAAGGCAAATATATGTAGTTTTTTTAACAGCAGTTAGAACTTAATACTATTTTAATTTGATTGGACTCAATACTATGTCATTACTCAACAGATGGCAACCCAAACTGTTATAAATATACATAATACTGAAAAAATAAATTGTTTAACAGGGTAAACATAATACTAAGTGATTTCCTTTACACTGGATTAATGATCGTTAAAAACCATCTAGATTTATAGATGTAATTTACACTATATGGTTCTTGATGAAATTTCAAGTTTTCAAAGTTTCAAATTAATATTAGAATTAAAACACATAACTTTGAGAAACGCACATATATTTTAATGACAGAAAGTGCGATACACTATCTCAGTTATTTGACCGTACTAATTTGATCTAAAAAAAACTAATCATTTCATTATCATTTAATGAATTTATTATCATTAATATAGTATAAGCGTATTCATAGCCTAAAGTAATTGAACACATATATGTATATATACACACACACATATATATATATATATATATATATACTAGCTGGCCCGGCAAACGGTGTTTAGCCATGAAATATATATAATGAAAAAAAATCATAAAAAATAAGTAACTGATTGTGAATGTAAATACGACTATATATATATATATATATACTCATATATATATATATATATATATATATATATATATATATATATATATATATTTATATATATATATCATTCAATTTTTTTGTATGTTGAAACGTATATCTGAAAATGTAACAAATATATTGTTAATATTTCTTGTTAATAATTAGATAACTTTTCTAATGTAGCAAACATTTCAACTCAATATATTAATTGAACCGAGAATTTAAAAAGGAAAAAAATACATCGGAATTGAAAACTTCAATATAATATTCGTGTAAAAATAAACTAGTTAATGTGTGTATATGTACATATTAGGTTGTCAAATATCTCCCTTCCGCCTTTTTGTATTATAAACCAAGAGCAAAAAAGCGGAAAGGAGATATTTGACAACCTAATATAAAAGTGTGTATGTTGAAGCAATATCTCATTAACATTGTTTATATTGCAAACAGTCTGGAACAATTACGAACAATTAAATACCGTTATAATGATTTGAGTTCTTTTTTAGTTTTTTAATATAAAGCAATCAGAATGTAAAATATTATATAGGATATTGAAATCTGGTTGAACTCAAAGACACATGTCGGGTTCATGTTACTTGCTTTAAGGCAAAATATCAATACCAACTAGTTTAATATTTGGTAACTTTTTTAAAATCTTTGCCAATTTTACAAAATATAAAGCATGGAGTCTTTACTAGGGAATGCAATACCGATATACCGGTATACCGAAAAACCGGTATACCCACCTATATTTTCTTCACGTTAGCTCATAAATATTTTTCTATTTGTTTAATATTTGGTCACGTTTTGCAAGTCTTCGCCATCTTTACAAAATATATGGTATTTTTTTATTTTTTTATTTTATTATTTTTTGAACAGCAATCAGAACAAACAGTCCTATGAGCTGTTAGGCTGAAACTTCTCCTTACTTCGTATTTATTTTAGATGGTAACCCAATGGTTAATCCATCCATATTTGATGATTTTGTTATTAGAATTAATCTAATAGGGCTGACATTTTATTGGTGCAGCAATGCCGGGTGAGGGCTATTTTCACTTGGAAACATATTGCTATCTATATTTCCAAGTGAAAATCGTTGTCACTGCTGCCTGACAACAGGCTGCTCGAAGTGGGTATCGAACCCGGGACCGGGGCCAAACAAGTCCCTAAAATATATAGTATAAAGCCGACAAATTATAATACTATATTTAAATCTGTTTAAGCCCCCTCAGACAATCGATCTAACATCTACTTTGACACCTACTACATTAGTGTAACTAACCCTGTTTGTCTTGATATTGATTGAATCTTGCATTAATAGATATATGATTATTGACAGAATTGGTAAATACTACATAATAATTCTTAGTAAATTATATTATTATTTGAATTGGAAATGATTCGGCTTGGTATTTAAACGCAGACTTTATTGATTGCTTCAATATTCCAGACCGGCGACGCAGCAAAATACACGCATAGAATGCGAGAGTGTCTTTTTTCTCGGATGGAAGTCACGTTTCACATTTTACACTTTAATTCCTCGTCCGACCTAATCTAATTTGTGGAAAATTCTTACGACGCAATATTGGTTTACTGGCACGATAGAATTAACATAACTGTGTTTGATTAAATTTAATAAGAATGACGCCTGACACATCAGGCAGTAATCAACAGTCTCTAATGAGATTAATTCGTGAAATGGTAAATATTAAGCGTGAAAAAAACCTACCATTTGAGGGTAATATTTCTGTTTTGTAATTAAGGGATCGCTTTTGGTGTTAGGAAAAGGGTTAAAGCAACCGTTCATTCTTTTAGGGTACCATTTTTTTAAAATATGTATTTTATCTTTATTTTACAGAATAAAAAATATCAACCACAATTAAATGTAAAAAGTCAAATATATTAAA